TAAAGGCTGACTGGTTCCTACTAATGACAGAGGCAAGTACACTCTTCAACCTATTAGCTAGTACTTTGGCAATAATTTTGTAAATGACATTGATACAAGCTATAGGCCTAAAAGCATTCAACTGATCAGCATTTGCAACCTTTGGCACTAGAATTAAAGAGGCAGAGTTCATACCTTTTGGTATTGTAAAGTCAGTAAAAAACTGCTAAATTATGGGCCAAGCTGAGAGGTGGTGAACACAATTAAGCAACTAATCGAATTGTGCGAGGAGCCGAGGACCAATTATGGGCTTTACGAAATAAAATATATAGCAAACCGCAGGGGGGAGCAGAGGTTTTGGACCAAACCGGTCCGACCACAGGCGGTCATGAAAACCGCCTCCTCTCTGAGCAGTTTCCGATGAAAATCGCGCCCCGGGTGGCGGTTTTTGGGTAAACCGGTCCACTCCATTCCTAGCAGTTTCTGGAGCCTCTAAGCAGTTATTGGAGAAGGAAATCGGAGCTGCTCAAGCATATAATGTCAACAAAAGACAAATTTTATATATCACTCAGAAAGATTAAGCCAAGGTTGTCATTTTACACAGACACTCCAACTTTCTACTGGGTTTCTCGGCTGCTACCCTCTTCACCTAGGTAACTATTTCAACCACATTGGTGACTAGAAAAGATGACATTCCCAAATCCTATCAAGCTGGTAGACATTTGACAGTACAACTCTCAATCGTCATCTGATGCCCCTTCCTGCTGCGACTCCTCAAATGCTTTCTTCAACACCTGCTCCCATCCACTCCCCGGGCCAACCTCCAAAAATTCTCGTGGAACAGCAGTTTTCAAACCAGGCCGAATCCCACACCGACTCTCCACAACCCTCAACTCCACATCCTCCTCCTTCTCCCCATCAAGTCCTTCCAATTCCTCCCACGTAAACAGCAGAGGCAGTGTAAACTCCGCCCATGGGTTAAAATCCAAAACCTTAACCCGCCCATCGTTTGTCACGTACACATCAAACGTGTAATCATCCGACTCAAACTTCAACCTCACCCGATCCTCGAAGAACCCCACAATCAGATCCTGAATTACGCCCCTCTCTGCCAGAATCAAAGGATAGCATGTGGTGACCTCACGCTGCGAGATCCCCACCAGCCACTGACCACGTACAAAGCACCGGAATTCCCTCTCTGGCAAAATTGAAGAGTACCATTTCCGGAGAGCAATGTAGAAACTCGAGGGCCTAGTCAATTCTTTTCTGTCACAGCACGAATCATAGGCGTGGCTTAGATCGTGGACCAAGGAATCGGACGACTTGAGTAAGAGTGCTATCTCGCTGAATGAAGTACAGCGGAGGTTTCTCGATGAGCTTATCCAAGCTGCATCCTTGGGTGAACTCCAGTTCAGCTTAGGAAAAACTGCACCTCCGAGTGCTTCGATCGAATTCTTGATCAGGAGTTCCAGGTCTGGGAAACAAGGTGGGGGTGACGATGCAGATTGATCTGATTCCTCATCGTTGTCGGAGGATTCTTCTCTTAGTTGATAGTCTAGTTCGTCGATGGGGTTTTGGACTCTGTTTGGCAGAGCGTCTTCATTTGATATGGAGAGAGGAAGTTGCAAGGTTCCTGAGTCGAGCAGGTACTCGATGAATGATTGCGGGAGTTGGTGAATGATGGTTGGGATGGAGACTGACTTGAACTTCGGGTACCACTCCTGTATCTGGCATCGATCCACTTCTATGACCTTCATTGTTGCCCTGAAGACTCGACTTGCTGTAGTAATCCCTCTATAAGCCTGTTTCCCACTTGCACAAAGAAAGGAAAGGGGATATATAAGTGTCTGTCATCTCTAGTATATTTAGACAACTAGATGTACACAAGGCAGTTGGTCAAACCAAGTTCATTAAAAACATCAAAGGCAAGAGCAAACAGCAACCAAATCAGGCTATTCTATGCATTCAGAGAAGTCTAAATCGGAAATACAAGTTGATTTCACATCTAGGTTGAACCCCAAACAATTGAAGAAATAGCCAAACGGGGTCCACCGAAGTCTAAAGTAGTAAGCTATTGATCCAGCAGTTTGGGAACAACTTTCCCCTTTTTGAATGAACACACCGGATGAAGCTTTGGATGGAACAGGAAAGAAACAAGTGAGACATTCGAAATTATAGTGCGATAAACACCAAACAACGAAGAATTACAATGTCTAGCATTTGCACCAAACTATATGGGAACATTCAGTTGCACTGCATCCTCTAGCTTTCGAAGTAGATGCAAACAGATCACCTAAAAGTTAAGAAAACCAACATAACCAAAGAACAAACATAAAGGAAGTCAGCCATTCTCAGATGTCACCACCAGTGGAGTTACTACAATTAAAGTCGCTGAAGTTAGGCTTTTAATAATCCAAAAACACATTAGATGCAGCCCCCACATACGTTACGATCCATTGTTCAAACATTCTCAAAGGAATCCCTACCTGGATAGCTATACAAGTATCACAAGCAAGGGAAAGCAAAATGATAGGTGTCCCAGGGTTGCTGTACAGTTCCTAAATTACAGCAATTAAGAAAACACTGTCGGAAACTGTGAATTTTGATAGTTATGGTGGAGGAAGAACAGCCATACTAGTCCCGGTGAAGTTCTGCAATGCATTACAGCTCGGAAAGTATAAGCGTCAGAAATGCAAGGAAAACTAGTGCTAAATTCTGGAATTCGAGAGACGAAGAACCAACTCTTAGCTCTCTTATATAAAGATAGGGTATCTATCTTACAAGCATAAGAAAAGGTTTTCATTTTCAAGGAGAACCAAATAACGCGTATCCCTAGCTCTACAAGGACACCAAATAATTCTACTTGTTCAATGCTCACCCCCAAAAAACCAAACTCTGCCTTACGTAAAGTTGCCAGAATGATTTTTCTTTAGAGTTCGGATACTTAATTGACCCGCTTCGTTGAAGTAGTGGAGAGAAGCAAACTCTTACAGAGGTCACTCCATAAGACTACACCATGGAAAATTAAGCTATGATTCTAGGTATTAGTAGTCGGAGAACTAGACAAAATGGACAGCACAATCCACAACATCAAATTTTAATCTAACAAGTACATATTCGACCAAAAACAAAAAGAAACCCTAGCCCTAAAAATCAAATACACAACCTTTTACCCAAATCAGAAAATTAACATCGTGAAACACCAAGAACACAATCTCACATACATACACTGCCCTTTCAGAACGAGGCCCCGCGAAAAAAGTAAAACGGAAGAGTTGAGGGAATCAAACCTGGCCCTCTTTGACTATGAGATTGATGTGAGCAGCCTAATCTGTTATTGGCTTCTTGTCTTTCTCCTCGCTTCTTCCCTCCCCTCTGCTGCAATGATCCGCAGTTCGCTTCCGATTCTCCGACGAAAGATAGAAACACTGCTGACCAGCTCTTCTTCTCTGCTAGAACTCCTCAGTCTATGAATATGAAGACGGAGGCGGGAATCCGAATAAGGGACGGCAAACAGTATTATAGGGTTTTCGGGTTAGTTACTAGAAATAGAAAAGAAGACAGAAATTGTTCGGCCGAATTTCCTCCTCTGAGATTTGGTTTGGGCTTATTTTCTGGTTGGGCTTTTGTTGCATATCTCTTCCGGCCTGGGCTTATCCTCGGAACCGATGTTTCTTACTTGTCTTCGTCCATTTTGAAAACATGGTATGCCAGGTATGGTTTCCATAATGAGAAGAAGATGACCTCACTCATGCCTTGCCATATTTAATTTAACTTGAGCTCATTTAATTGTGAATTGTGATTGTGTGGTTGGAAAGCTGGTTAGAAGTGTATTTGGCTAGGTTGACAAATTGATCAGCCGATAATTCTGACATACAATTATTGTAACATCTCGCGCGAATTATGTAACAATTTTTATTGAGCCAATTCATTTAGCTATACGATATCATTTAGTTGTTTGTTTTATACGTTTTAATTGGAAGAAACACGTGATTAACTTGGGTTTTCGAAAATAATCGAAGTCAAATTATAAAGTTTTACTTTAATGACTCCTTCACTTGTTTTGTTGTTTTTCTAGCTTCTTGTTGCCCTCCTCTTACTTGCTCCTCAAGTTAAGAACCAGACAAGCCTAATTCATCTAAGATAGGTTTCCTAACTCAGATTTTTTTTTTCTGTCTTGTAAACTTGTACTTATTGGAATCTACACGTACTAGTGAAAGGCCTTGACCTAGTGTGACTTGTACACTTTTGACACTAGTGCATCTTGTTTGCTTGCTCTTTCTACACTTCTCAACTCAATTTGTGACAACAAATCAAGTTTATACCCTATTGAAGTTGCTTGCGTTTAATCTAGGAGTGTGAGAGGATTTTCGAGAGTACTCTCTATGAGATTTATGTCAAGCTCCTCTTACAAGGAAGAGTATGTTCTTTGACCTGAGTCTGCTCAAAGATTATTTGGAGAGATGGAATTGTCTGGAGTTACGATATCACCGTGTTAGTATGAGTCCTATGTTGCTTTGCGATTTGAGAAGGGAAGAGCTAGAGTTCTTCTCTAAACTAGAAGGGCGGCATGATATCTGTCACCTTCAGGTGTTCCAGCCTAGGGTTTCTTGTTGGGTTGCTCCAATTCCAAGGTATGAGGAGTTGGCGAGGCATGTACAATGGAAGCTACAGCTTTTGGGTTCAGAGCTGGAGCGAAGTGAAAACTCCCTCCCTCCCTCAGACGGATCTATAAGTCAACAGTATCGAAACGACAATGTGCTCTACTGATGGTCTGCTGGTGTCCAGATGACGACTTCCAGCAAAAACCTTATTTCCCCATCTACTTGGAAATTGGAATGTATTTGTTGTATTCAGGCATAAATCTATCAAATGTTAACAGAAAAGATCAACACATAACATTATCATCAGAGAACTCAGATGTGATCTGACTGCTAATGCACAACATAAAAACATCATGGTCGTGGCTGGCAGCAAACATCATTTTTAGCACAACACTTGACAAGGAAGACCAAAAAAGTTGGCAGCAAACCGAATTGATAACCAAATAACCAAAGTCCAAAAACCTTTCTGGATAAACCAATGGTCTATCCATACAGTCACAGAAACACCTCACACTCAGAAAACAAGATCCTGCAGACAAACAGGAAAATAACATATTCTGCATATCACCATTAAAAGAACTCTTCTGCATTACCGAGTTTCAACAGTTCTGTTCATCCTCACTTTTCGCCCTTCTTGTCCGGTATGGATTCCAAAGGCAAACCAGACATTTGAGACTTGTTTTTGGGCAACGATAAAAACCTTACAGTATCTATCATTCAGATGCAGCAGCTGAATCTGTTCCAGCCAGCGGTTTGCCATTATCATGCTTGCTAAGTTGGCTGAAGTTGCCCTTCTCCTTGAAGAGCTGGGTGTGGTGGTGTCTGCAATAGAGGCGCTGATCGTGGGCCACATAGTTTGAAGGACTGATTACACAGCCGCCATGGGTGCACCTGAAGCACGCCTTGTGATATGATGTGCCATCTACTGCCACCTGAGAAGAAGAACATATCATGAAAAGGCCGAGTATGTAGTCTTAAGCTTGATTCTTTCATGATTTCTACACTAGTGGACGTCTGAGAGTGATTAATTACCTTTTCAAGCGGATAAACAGTTTTCTTGCAAGCGACACACTTGTCTTGTGTACCAGCAAACATACTTGAGATTTTGCTGCTGCTCTGTGTACGTGAGAAGAAAGAAAGTAACTATCAGTTCCCTGAAGACATGACTCATCGGTTTTGCTTAAAGTTTAGGAGGAATCGGATACCTGGTGAGCAGAGCGTTCCACTCTAACAGTTTTTGGAGTCCCTAAACAGTCATTGGAGAAGGACATTAAGCCCACCTAAACATTAAAGATAGTATAAGACTGAAAAGCAATAATGATCCGAACAATTAATACTACCTTCGAAGCTTTTATCCAAACTGCCGGTCATCTTGAATAGCTGATCGAAGTGTGGCTTGCAATACAAGACACCCTCAAAGGAGGAATAGTTACTCAGCTGCAGAACCAGACAAGAATATCATGTTTAAGAGGAAAAAATTTCAGATGGAGACCAATATCACAGTGAAACTCAAACAGAAGGAAAGCACTTGATAGTCGAAAGAAGTAGCGGAACGGAGACCAGCCGCCTCTATAACAAATTAAGCTAGATGTCTCTATTCATGAAGCATTGGCATTGGCATAGAACCTAAACTGATGTGTATAAATGGACTAATTACCAGGCAAATGCTGACAACAAGAAACAGAAGATGCCCGAGACAAGTGCAGGGCAATCGACATATAGTCACGATTTCAAATAATGCTTTATCTTGAACCAGTAGCCAAAGATGAAAGATGAAGGAGGAAGAACACAAACAAGTGATTTGGGTTGTATTCCTGACTAGACGTCATCTCCATCTAATACAAAGGTGAAATGGAATACAAAAACATTTAGAAGTTCATTACTTCCTCCCTTCTTTCTAATTTCCTCACAGTTGAATGTATCAATTCCAGAATTTGAATGGGGAGTGATATTGCATATCATCATTCATTTCTACCAATGAAGAAACTCTTAAGATCTTGTCCAGCACATCTCTTTTTTATCCTAAGTTTGAACTTGCATCCACCTAACTCCCCTTGGCCCTTAGGGTTCCCCCCACCCTCCAATCGCTTGTGGGAGTGGGACACAAATGTTCCTATAACTACAACTATAACTATCATCGCCAACAAACTCAAAAAATTGACAAAGATCTGCTAACTACCCACCATCTAATTCGTCAATTAAAACTCCAGGATCTATACAAACCAGATTCTTCTGTCTCAATCACCTGACTCCAAAGATCGACATGATCAAGACCAATTAAAAGTAGTCTTAAGGGAAAGGATAGCTGTCCTCTGCCTCTACCTTTAGAATGAAAAGGAAAAACAGAGTTCTCGAAAAAGAAACAAAGAGCCGAAGCTGATCAATACTAGTAAACCAAAACCCCAGACAGCAAGATCCCAGCCAACAATCAACAACAGCAACTCGTACAGATAAAAAGCACACAACTTTGGCAAAGCAACTTAAAAGCTTCAAGTTTGCATCTTTTTCTCGAATGGGTTGAGGAATTTAAACAGAGTGGATTGAGGTACCTTGAGGGTGCCTTTGCAATGGTGGCAGCGGAAGCAAGCTTTGTGATAGACTTTATTGTCGGCGGCAAGCTGATCCACCAAGTACACCGTCTTCTCGCAAGCCTTGCACTTCTCCGTCGTCCCTGCAAACGTCGCCATCCTTCTCAACTCTGAATCTTCCCCCTTTCCTCTGAAATTATTGCAGAGGCTAAAAGGGTTTTCCAGAAAAAAGCACTGCCTGTGAGAGAGAGAGAGTGTGTGTGTGTGTGTGTGTGAGTGTGTCAGAATTTTACAGCTCACGAATGGGAAGCAAAAACTCGCTTAGCTACTAGTACGCAGCTGTTTCCTTTTTTTTTTTTTGGGTTGTCGGTAAAGACTTTTTTGGTTGGCGAATGGCGAGTGGAATGACTTGGAGGAAAAGGGTGGTGAAAAAGAAAGAAAAGAAAAGAAAAATCCAAACTGTCGGAATCGGATGTTGAACTTTACGGTGGCAACCCTCCATCGCCGGTAGCAATAATGAGAGGAGGGCCATCTGTTTGTTTTTGAATTTTTCCTCCTAATGATGTTCTTTAGGTGCGCAGCAGTAGATGGAGATTGAAATCAAATTACAATTCCAACCAACCATACCTAACTGGTTTTCGAGCTGACCAGAGATACCCATAGAAACATACCAACCGGGTCCAACCACTTTCAGCAAGATCCACAGAAAACTCATGGTAAACTGGATTATACCGGTTAAGACATTTGAAACGGGATTTTTGTTGGTTTAGCTTAGGTAACTGTCATGCATATCGGCTTTGACCATTGGTTATTGGTTTCGGTTTATGAGTAGATTGATGTTTTGCTTACGATTTCGAAGCATATAATTCTTTCTTTAACATATTTCAATTCGACTAACTAAACCAAAACGATCGAGTTCTTCGTTATCAATTGTTTCATGACAAAGCTCGAGTCCACTGCACGACTTCAACATCAAGCTTTTCAATCCAGGTCGTGAAATCAACCTTGTAAGAAGTTATCGAATATAATTCGTCTCGCTAGACTTAGCAAACGACGGCCATTCCTACAAGGGAAGGGGTTCATTATACCCTGGGCAGAACTAGGCAAGAATCCGCATGGTCTGTAGCCTTCTGAGACCTGGGAATTAAGAAAGTGATTCTGCAAACTGATTCCCTAACATCACAATCATTTGAACATTGCGCAAAACTCGACCAATCAATTCAATGCGTCCCTTGACATAAACAAGAGAGCCAAACAACGTACAGAATCCCAGCCAACAAAAAAGGGATGCTCAAGTGTCTATATCCATCTACCATGCCTGAAAATTTTTATTCCATTATCTGCTTATGAAGTATGAACCGCAACTATTGGCAGCGAGTCTGAGAACATCACAACAGCCTACAAACAGGTTGTTCTGTTGCCAAATGAAAACCATAAAGACACTGATTCATGTGTTGGCTTCTGCACACAACCTTATGCACTCTCACCTGCCTGCTTCCTTGATTCTTCGCGCATCGTTGCTTTCACGTAAATCTCATAGCAGCAACCTATGGAAAAAAGGGTAAGACACAATTGATAAGTTGCAAGGCTAGGGGAGTGAAGCAGAGCAGGTAGAAACTGAATGCGAAGAATAATTCCTAGTAGTTCAGTAACAGGTTTTCACAGATAACATGGCCATAGGTCATATCGTAGATACCAAATAAAGCGTAGAGACCCTCAGCCTGACAGAAATGATGATTACTGCTCCATGGCTAGATGTATGTTAAGGTTATTCCCGAATGCTAGGATTTGCAGTCCTGTTCTGGGGTACATTACTTAGGTCGGTAAAATCTTGGCAACCAAGGTTATGAGAGGGCAACACTGATCACTATATGTACACTAAATTGCATGAAATATCCAATAAGGTTTCATCATTCAGGCAAATGGATGGTAGATCTCATGCAAAGGTTTGCAGGCTCAGCATCCCACTCAGAAACCACAAGTTCCTGGCCTAGTCAACAATGAACCCCAACATGCTTAAGACACTGTTAAAGGTTACTATCAGTTCATAATGATTCCATATACCAACTGTCAGCCCAAAGAATTAAGCAAAACGGGCAATGAAATAGCAGCACATTACACACAACCTTGGTTCAAACGTTTTCTCTTCACTTCAAGCACATAAACTAGAATACTTACCGACTACAACGACAACGGTGAGAAAATCTCCAATTTTGTTAATTTTCGAGACGCCTGACTTGTGTGATTTGAATCTACGAATGGCCGGGTCATCGGCCAAGAGCTGCATCATGATCAATTCACCAAATTACTACAGAATCTCAAAATTCGGTGAACAAGAAACGAGAAACCATTCACAACATAACCAAAGCAATGAAGGTTGCATATCACATGACCATCACCAACAAGAAAACCCAACATTCAACAGAATCCTAAACCACAATCTTAACCCAAAAATGCCCATCAAAAGGAAATCCTAGAACCCTAATTGGAGAAATCAACACGAAGAAGAGGGGCAAGGGGAGAAAATCTTTTCGAATAGACGGAGACAGGTAGAGGGAGAGGCAGGGCAGACTCACAGCTTTCTCTCGCTGCCCAAGCTCGACATGGAATCCACGGTGAGGGACTGAAAGCGCTTCCTTTGATCGAGAAGGTTGCCGGAAAGGAGATAGAAAAAGAGTAGGCGTGAGTGGTAGCTCGAATTCAGATTACGGAATCAGAACAAAAAAGACAGATTAGCACCTGAGAACGCGACCGGAAGTGAGAAGAAAGCGAGGAGTTCTTCAGGAAAAAAGCCATCTCCGCCGGAGATGTTTCAGATCAGCAACAGAAGTTGGGAAATCGGAAAACTTGGCCGCCGCTGCCGCCGCTTCCTGCAGAGAGAAAAGCCTTCACAAAAGAGCAACTAGTCGTCAGAGCCGATACGGTTTGCAATCGAGGCAAAAACGTTTTGGACTTTTGCTGTTCAGGCCTTCAACTCTTTTCATATTGCAATATCATCCCTTTCTATCTAACTCGTCAAGGGCTCAAGGCCCAGTACGCCACGTAGACGGTTCGACGTTAACCAGTGAGATGGGATTTCTGTTTATGTAGGCCATGGAAAGAAGTGATAGACAACATTTTTTTTTCCAAAAGATAATCGATATATTGATCAGAAACATAGGTAATTACATCTTGGAATTGAGCCAGACCAGAAAATTAAAGTAACGACTCGTAGTCAGGTACAAAGAAAGAGCCTTTCTAGCCACAAAGTGGGCTGCCCTATTACTACGCCGACCTACAAATCGAACAGAGAAACCTCCCAACGAACCAAGCACGCCTACAATCTCCTCAAGGAGTGCCCCAACTCTACTATCCCTAGTATTTGCCTGAGTAATCTTCTCAATAAGCACCTTGGCATCACCCTCAAAGCGCACCTCAACAAACCCCGAGTCTCGGCACCAGAAAACAGCTTCACGAAGTGCAAGAGCTTCAGCAACCAACGAGTCCTCGATGCCTGTAAACTGAAAGCCTCGGGCTATCAGAATGTGCCCCAAGTGGTTCTTCACCACCATCCCACCTGCCGAGTGAGAGGCAGCCTTGGTAGCCCCATCCCACAAGCAGATCATAGGACAGTGTGGAACCTCAACCTCCGGGGTAGCTGGACCACCCTGGGCTTTATCCTTCGGAAGACTGATCCATTCCTGGTACTGCTGGTGATATTGCCTCATCAAAGCCGGAATCCCAAACTGTTTCCCTTCGAACACAACCCAGTTCCGGGACCTCCAAATTCGCCAGAGGACAGCCGTAACCGCCATAACCAAGTGGTCCTGATGGAGGATATTCAACAATCTCTTCAGGAACAAGGGAAAAGTGTGACGAGGCAACCCCTGCCCGAGATACTCCAAATCCAGCGTAGTCCCAGAGGGCTCGAGCCATAGGGCATTCCAGGAACAAATGCTCCAAGGTTTCGGATTCCGCCCAGCAAACAGGGCAACGAGGGTGCACTTGAATCTTTTTCGCAATCAGAGCTTCAGTGGTTGGAAGGAGCCGATTTAGAATTTGCCAAAGAAAGACCCGTAACTTCGGGGGGACAGGGGCCTCCCAAACGCGAATCCAGCTAGACTTATCCATCCAACTGACCGAAGAACGGTACCGGTCATCCATCCTCTCTAGCTGGCCCGCCAAATGGTAAGCCGATTTCACAGTAAAAACACCATCCGCCAAGTGATAGACAACATCTGGAAATGCCCTAGTTAAAAAAAATCCCCACAATAGCACATTTTAATTCCCCCCAAATACTCCAATTTGGAGCAATTTGTTCTCGTGTCAAGTAAACTAGATAGTGGTTTGCTTGACACTAGAGCGAACTACATCTGAAATGGCCGAAACGACCGAAAAAACCCAATATGAGGATGGTTCGCAGCTGTGCCCAGCAAATCAATGCTAATCATAACTTCAAACCATCATAACTTTGCACTTTGTTTTTATCCACAATACCACGATTTCACTACAAATTTTTCACTATATAGTACTTCCATAAATATTTTCCTAACTATAGGGTAGTTTGCTGGTGTAAAAAACGAACATATAGGATTCCTATATCGTTGAAGTCGAAAGGAATTTATATAAATCGCTAGTCAAAGAAACGATTTAGCAAAAAAATGATGAATACGTATAACAAAGCAAGCACAATGGATCATTGACCGAAATTCATCTGAATCATGGAAGGGTCAATCAGTTCAATCTCCCGCCGCTCGTCACTACTACTGCCTGACCTCTCTTCTTTCTTCCTTACACAACAAATAACATAACAATCACAACCACAACCAACCTTCTTTGCCAAATCCCCATCTAACGTGAACTCGTGCATCACCCACCCGTTATTCTCACTCTCCCTACTACTCCCACCGCCGCCGTCCTCCTCCGCCGTCTTCACTTTGTACGAGAATGTCCGCTTCTTCCCGATGACGAGGCTCTCCTTGTCCTCGGGATCGATGCGTATCTCGTAGTCCCTCTGCGACTTCCACACGCTCTGCCCGAAACTCCGCTCCACGCGCTGCCCCTTCTCCTCCTTCTTCTTCTTGAGCCGGGTGAAGAAGTAGAGCCGCGACTCGCCGGTCAGGTCGAACCAGTGCTTCCACTTCTCCTCGTCGTCGTAGAGGTCGCACTCGAGGACCGAGCCCGGTTTGAATCCACGTGGATCGCACGCTTTCGGCCACAGGTAGTCGGTGATGAGCTGGGTTTCGGTCGGGTCGAACCGGGTGCCCGGTGGGAACCGACCCGGGAAGATCATGGGGTGAAAAGAGTGTTGGCCGGCGATCGATTATCGAGATCAATGGGAAACGAGAAAGCACGTACGAGAACCAAACAGAAAGTAAATTAGCGGTTTTGATTTATATGTATGTATGGGGTTTTTTCCCGATTTGATTTTGGTATTCCTTTTTTGTTTCTAATTCTGATTCATCATTTCTTGATCTTGGATCTTGTTGAGTGCTGAGGTGGCATATACCGAGATTGTTGATCTAGGGTTACGTTGCATGCATGCATGCATGCAAGCTTTTGCAACACCGTGGTTGTGGTTGCGGGCCGACCTCCGTCCATTATCAGCCTTTGTGGGCTCGGCACGTGTGTGAACCAACACGCTACGCCACCTGTTTCCCCTTTCTATTTGTTCAAATAGAGGTGATGCTAATTTTACCAGATGCATTTTGATGAACGAATTTGCCAAGTTCTCGTAGATCGCATGAAAAGAAATGTAAATCGAAACACCACGTAGTTCACAAATTCAAAGCAAAAAAACATGATATTCAGCCATTCATGGATACCAAAATAAAAAATAGAAAAATAAACCTGTGATATTATTTTCTTACATTGAATTGAGGAGTTCAGCATTGGAATTCTAGCCTCCTAGTCAGTGGCGGAGCCAGGTTATTGGTCAAGGGGTGCTTATCCTTATATCATAAAAAAAAATACGTAATAGAATAGTCAACTTTAAATGAAATAAAAAGTCAACAATATAATACTCATGACTCATACAATTACATAATTATAGTTGAACAAACATCACTCACAACAAAAAACGAAGAGATTTCATATTCTGAAACATTGTAGAACATATTCCTTGCTCAAACTGGCACACAAATCTTGTCCAATATATGATGCATCATTCATTCATTTCGGACATCATTTTTTATATGTTACATGGATGAAAAATGATCTCTTCACACTTGTTGTGGCAATAGATAGAATAAAATTAAGTTGAGAAGCAAATAAACATATGGATAGAGTTTGTGCTTATGTGTTTCTACTATTTTTTTTCTAACTCATCAATCACTTGTAAGTTTTTTAATCTATTATGGAATGGTAGATATAAATGAGAGAATTCAAATGATGAGCCAGATATTTGATAAGATTTGGAGGTAATTCGTTTAAATGGTACTAGTATCGGCAGAGAGAAAACCCCAATTGTTGGAATTTTGTGGGAACGATGATAATAATTTAGTTTGATCAAAAATTCTATGGAAAAAAATTTTAGTTTGATCAAAATAATGATTAATGAATGGATAAAGAAGATTGTGGTGTTTATGTACGTTTGGCGAAAGTGCAAAAATTGGGCCAAACTTATTACAAGAAAGAGACTCTAGGTGGGCATAAGTTTAATTTCAAATATTGCAGCCCATAATTGATTTATAATAAATAAAAAACTTAAGCTAACAGTTCACAGAATAAACAGAACAAAGTAAAGTCTGATGGGAATTTTTTGCCCCTTCTCCAAGGGGCTGCAAGCACCCCCACCTTAATGCATAGCTCCGCCACTGCTCCTAGTCCGTTCGTTTACCTAATTAATTGTTGCGTTGTTTTATTGATCGATTGATTTAATTATATTTTGATTTAAAATTCCACTCGAACCTCCAATTGCAAATCAATAATCATTTTATTCACCACTTTTGGTTTGATTTTTTTGACTTGGAGTCTTATACTCGATCTTGACGGCTTGACCAATAGACCCTCCCAACCCTAACCCGCTAAAAAAAGCAATCACTCGGTTTTGGGTCATTCGGGTTTAGGACAGTGGCTGATTCAGTGGCCATTTTCGGGCCACGGCCCAGTCCTCTTTGGATACAGAGCTAGTATAACACTTGTAAAATTTCAATTATTGGGTCTGACCCTTTTCAACTTTTTTCAAATGTGTCCCAATGCTCTATCCTGTCTCGAATCCGTCGCTGGTTTAGCAATGAAGAATTTCTGTTGAAGATTTCCTAGATCTCTGCTATTATTGAAATTGTTTGTTGTTGGTATGCAATATTATTTAGTGTTTGGAGTATGGATAACGAAGGAGCCATTCTCTATTTTATTCACTACCTCCCCACTCCATCGTTGGAGATTTCGGATCGAGTCATAATATACCGGAAAATTCTTAGCTCCAACCATTTCAGTTTCCTATTAGTAATTTTGTCTTCTTTTTCATATTTTAATTCTTGATTTATTTAGCATAATTAAAAATATTAAATATTAAGAAAAACAAAAAGTCAATCCGCCAATAACAAACTGACAATTGAATGGTTGGAGCTAAGAATTTTCCATATACACCGGGTCATAATTTCATTCCCTCCCTCCCTTCGTATACACTAATTTTTTGGTAGATAAAATAAAGCAACAACATTGGTAAAAAAAAAAACTTTCAACGTAATTTATCTAGGAATAATAGCAATAGTTTATATTTTTTTTTTGCATATGTTAATAACTAAAGAAAATTTCAAGAAATCTTGCCCTAACTCCACTACGTTCTTGAACACAAACAGTCAAACATACGGAAATTAATCACAGTCTTGGACCTACGCAGCAGTCGACGGAAAAGCATCAATCAGCTCGATCTCCGGCCACTGGCTGCCGCCATTACTCTTCCCCTCTTCCTTCTTCCTCACGCAGCAAATAACATATTCCTCGCCACCAACACCAAGACACTCAGCCAAATCTCCATTGATCTTGAACTCGTGCATCACCCACCCGTTACTCTTACTTTCCCTACTACTACTACTACTACTCCCACCGCCGCCGCCGTCGTCGTCCTTCACTTTGTACGAGAATGACCGCTTGGTCCCAATCTCGATCTCCTTCTCGCCGGGAGCGAGGGCGAGGCTGATCTTGTCGTCCTTCTGCGACTTCCACACGCTCTGCCCGAAGCTCCTTTCCACGCGCTTCCCCTTCTCCTTCTTCTTCTTCTTGAGCCGGGTGAAGAAGTAGAGCCTCGACTCGCCCGTCAGGTCGAACCAGTTCTTCCACCTCTCCTCGTCGTCGTAGAGGTCGGCTTCGAACACCACGTTGTTGTTTGGGTGGTGGAACCGGTTCGGGTCTTGGCAGAGTTTGGGGCAGAGGTAGTCGAGAATTAGCTGGACGTCGTCGGTTGGGTCGAACCGGAAGCCTGGCGGGAGGCCCGGGATGTAGCTCATCGTGGTGTGCGATAATCGATATGGAAACGAAAGCCCCTGAAAATTGTTGATGGGAGAATGCGTGAACCAATAAAAACGAAGATGACCGTCTCGTTTATATTATGGGGGGTTTTCCGATTTGATTTTGGTATTCCTTTTTGGTTTCTAATTCTGATTGGTCATTTCTTGATCTTGGTTCTTGGATCTTGATGAACGCTGAGCTGGCATGCCGAAATTGATTGTTGATATTATATGGGCGGCTTTAGGGTACGTAGTACAGTTACGTTGCATGCATGCATGCAGCTTTGCAACACCGTAAGTGGTTGTGGTAGCGGGCCGAGCTCGCAATTTCGTCCATCAGCCTTGTGGACCCGGTCCATGAGAACCAAGACCTCTAGTTTAGAGTGATCGTTTGGCGGGAAAAAAAAGAAGAAGTTAAGTATCGGGTTTGAATAGGCAAATCTGGGTATGTTAAGGCAAGGAGAAATAGCAAACAGTGAGCATAGTGAAAACCGGGCAAGGGAATTATGGCGAATCCACGTTTGAAGACTGTGGGATGGGAAGTAAAGAACATTACACTACAAAAAAACAGGGCTATGGCAAGGGTTTTTTTGACCTATAGCAAGGGTTATAACCCCTGCTACAAGTTGTAGCAAGGGTTTTCCCAACCCCTGGACGAACCCTCACCAATGCTGCCCTTGCTACACGTAGCAAGGGTTTTTAGCAACCCACGGTGGAAGTCCCCTCCAAAGGTTGTAGCAGGGGTTTTAACTCCTGCTACATATACCAAGGGTTACAACCCTTGCTACACTGAAATGTAAAACCCAATAGAAATATGTCTGTATCATGGGTTTGAACCCTTGGAAAATTTGTTGCTAAAACTAGCAAGGGTTCAAACCCTTGCTTAACTCGTGACTAATTAATTTTGCAACGAGCTTATTATGGTCACTAAAGAGAGACCTGTAAGAATTCAAATTGTTGCCAACACTAGCAAGGGTTAAAACCCTTGCTTTATTCGTGACTAATTGATTTGCAAATTGATTTGCAACCAACTCAGTATGGTCACTAAGAAGACCCTAACACTGGATTCTAAGTTGGTTACAAATACTCTGGTTACTATAGGAAAACTTACAACCAAACTTGTTGCTGGCAAACTTTTGTATATATATTACATCATTCATACCATGATTCATGATTCAATATAATATTGTTTACATAGCTAAATGTTAATTACCATAAATATCAAAGAATCATCCAAAGAAACATAGTAGCAGTAAAAGAACCTAATGATCTACTCTTCAAAGCCAAAAGAAAATACCCATGAGATATCTTCCCTCTTTTACAAGTTCTGGACAGAAGCTCTATGCGCTTCCTCACCTGATACCTGGAGCTCTTTATGAAATTCATAATCACACCCTCCATTCCCTGAGATACATTAGGAGCATCTAACATGAGACAACTTAAAGCTTAAAGTATTATTTAGTACATCAAACTGCAACTAGAAATTGAATTGGTTCCAAGAAATATAAAAGGAAGACTACTCATCAAAAACAGATACCTGAGAGCATTCTTAATGTACTCAAAAGCTACACTTGCTCGAGCTGCACAAAGAACCGGCTATGTAAATAATTTGCAATACAAACTTTGAGAATGATGTTGCACTCAGGCTACAATACACATTTCTATAACCCGATTCAAGAAAATGAGACCAAACTGATACCCTTTTGCTTATGTGATAAATCAGACAACAATTGGTTCGAATTTCTCACCTATACTACCACCTTTCTGTTTCTGGGACCGGATGTACCGGAGTGTGCTGGCGAAGAAAGCATCGGAAGCTGGATCTGCAACACAAAGTTACTTTGCATCTCGTCGGTTATTAGTTCAACCAGATCCTGGATCATATTGATTGTAATCTGCAGATTGCCCTTCTCGAAAAAGTAGAGGTACCTGCAGCAACACAGGAAAGATTAGCCTGACCAACGACGATGTCAACTCCAAAGCTGGGGTCAAGGCTGCATTTGCGATCCTCAAGCCCCGCTTTAGGCACAACATGACTTTGAGATTACAAATTACGAGCCAAACAGAGTTAGAGTTGTTCAGTTGAATATTAAGTCCGATGAAAATACAGATTCTGAAAAGGACCTCTCTCCATCCTTGATTCCAGGCCTGGTCATCAACCCAAAAGAGGTGGGATCAGGCGTAAACTGCTCGGCATTGGTCAGGCTTCTTCAAAAGCTTTGCAGAATACTTGCAAAAAGAAAGAAGAGCCAAGTTATTCACGGGGTTTGTTAGTATAATAAAGGGAACAAGTTACTGAGAAGGAAAGAGTTGATGGTTCTTACTCCGGTGGCCTTGTGAGTTAATGTATCCATGTTCTCAATTCCGAATACTAGCATCCTCTGGAGAGTTCCAACAATTAGATGTATAGCAGTCACCTGAGCCTTCGAATCCTGATTTGCAAGAGAAAAAAAGATCTTCAGCGGTAAGGGGATTAAGGAACCAATCTCAATGAATTCTTAATTCAGAGAATTAAGTTGAAGGAACTGATCAAGAGAGTAATTGATTACCGCAATTGCTCGAGCTCACAGTCATTAGCTGCCTGATTATAACAAAAAATTTACATAAATAAGAAACCAGGAAGAAATGGAGTGAACAACGCGTTCATCTATAAATTTTCCACTATTTATCAAAGAAGTAATACGAGACTGAAAAACCTCAATGCCAGCTCGGGTTATGGAACAACTGAAAGAGCTTCAATAGTTTGATGAAAAGTAAATTATGTCACTGTATCCAGCAATAAGGGTACATCATATATACCAATATTGCATAATCGAATTAACTATATATCATAAATGTAAAACTACAATAATGGCACAATGTTCAACTAGTTGAAACGACAATTATGCAGAAAAACACCAAGAGGATTCCAGAAAGGCTAACCACCTATGCGAATACAAATTCATAATCCAAATATGCTAAACTACTTGAGAGCTTGTTTTACCCAATGATTAACTAATTAAGCCCATTGAGAGATACATTACAGGTTTACTAATGATTACAACATCTGATAAATCACATGTCAAAAGAATTACCTGATTCAAGAGCTGGAAAATAGCCTTTGGTTTGCAGGCACTTCCTCTCCCACTACATCTCCATCCTGAGCTTGCAAGCATCTAATAAGCTGTTCCACTTACATAATTTTAAACAATCAGATGCAAGACACAAAGTCTTGCACCTGATAAATTGAAAGAATAGCCTCCACATCATCAATAATCTACAAAAGAGATTAATTATCAAGGTTCAAAAATGTCAAACAAGTAGCATAGACTGCATAACGATTAGCGATACAACATGCATAATCTGAATACCGTACTTAACCGTTTAGAGTTCAACAAACAGAAGTGAAATGCCGATGAATGATGACTAGAAACCAAAACCTCATCTGACTTATAATGTTGGCCAATATAAACCATCTGCTCAACATGCTTGCAACTAACATCATTATCCATTGCAATTTGCAAGTCTATCCACAAATGATGCAATCAGCGACAAGCTATTAGCCAGGCATCTACTTTAAGTATTTATAAGTATCATATCTTAACCATTTGTAGAAACCAGTTCCATTCAACACGAAAGTACTTATAAGTATTTATAAATTATTAAATTTACAACTTTAATCTGAAACTTGATCATGACCTCTTAAGAACAAACAGAAAACGGGCAATCTTAAACCAATTAATCACCCCAATACAAGAGCTGAAACACTTACCAAGGTTCAAAAGGGAAATGCTGGAGTATTTGTTCTGTTCTAGTCAAGCACCGAATTTGAGTAGTTCTCAGCCACAACTAATCAACAAAATTCATCCATATATACTCGAACCAGCTTCAATGAGTATGGGTAAATCTCGAACCCAAATATTGCGGATAATGGATGGACACGATTTTCACACTATCCAACCCGAACTCGCACGATTATACACATGCATATATTTTTTATCTAGAAATTTTCATTATTTTCTCAACAATTTTTGTTATATTTATCATACAAATATAATATTTTCATGAAATTTTGTTGTTTTTAATTAATTTTTCTCCATTATAGTGATTTATAGTCGTACTTTTTCAATTATCTAATGTGAGTATACGTGTGAATGTTAAGATTTTGGTTGGAGTTATAAAGAGAAAAAATTAGCCATGGATAACCGTGGATACCCGAAATCCAAAGGGGTATGGACATGATTTTGGTTTTCTGCCCGATTGTTATACGAGTATGGGTATGGATACCCCGATTGTTATACCTTCCAAAGCTCCTTGGATAACTAAACGTTTTCTTGGAGAACGATGAAAATGGAAAGGCATTTCACTAATTTCAGTTTCCCTATTACACTATACAGATCACATTAACTCTCACAATGCGTTTGCTGCTCAGCAACCATTCCATAATGAATGAAATGAATATACAACTTTTTCGTGGGGAATGCGAACGAGAGAATTTGGAACGGTTAGGATATGCATCAACGCTAGTTCCAATTTCCAAGTTCCAACTCCAACGATCGGGTGCTTTCACATTGAAATATATACCCTTACTAACCCTCATCAACAGCCACTCCACAACTTTGGAACAACAGAAAAAGAAAACCAAGCGGTCCTAAAGAGAACACAAAGAAAGCTAGGCTCGTGGCGAGAGGGAAGAAAAAAATAAATGTCGGACAACATTCCATCGGGAGTACTCATCACAGAAATCCTTGGCCGACGACTCAGTTGGTGCGAGCTCTGCAGGCTGAGGTGCGTGTGCAAAGAATGGCGGTCCATCATAGACGAACCCAGTTTCGTCCCAACTCCAGCGCTCTACTTCCCTGTTCCTCCACGAAAAAACATTCCCTCCTGGACGCGACATTTCCTGCGGCTTCAAGCCTGGCACTTTCTGTCGTCCCGACAGACGAGAGGACGAGGAAGGACCCTTAATATCATTCTGAAACCTTCTTCCTTCATACGGGCTCTATGCCTATGGTGTCATCGGTTCATGCCACGGTTTGGTTTGCCTAGGGGATTTCGAGACCGGAGTATTCCGGCTGGTCAACCCATTAATGTTGCGGGAGGAGAAACGATCTCATGTGACACTGGGACCTTTAATAATGAGGGATCCATGGCTCTCAAGCCATGTGTACTCTGATAATAGTGATGATGTGAAGAAGGTCGGGGTTGGGATCGTGGATTCGTGCTTGTGCATTTGTGCTACTGTTAAAAACGCGCTGCTACGGATCGGGAAATCGCCGGAATCGACAAAGCAAGAATAGGAAAGCGAGAATCGAAAAACACAGACACACGATTTACGTGGTTCACTAACACAATGTGTGTTAGCTAGTCCACGGGCGAGAGAGAGCCAGTTTCACTATATCGAGGAGATTACAGATTACAGAGGAGTATGAGAAGTATTTATAGTACTTCTCCATATGGGTCTAAACCTAATCCAATCTGGCAAAGGAAACGGTTACAGACCAGGCCCAGATCCGGTTAGCGAGACCCCCGATTACCAATAGTAGCGGCTGATAGTCTGATTCAAGTCACATCAACAGCTACTTATGGTGTAGGGCGGGTTGATGTTTGGGTGACGAAAGAATACGGGAATGAGGATTCTTGGTGCATCCTCCATTCTGTAGTTTGTAAAGCTCCTGTTTTCCATCAACCTCCTCGATTAGTTCGTAGTTTGGGGGTGTTGGATGGCAGGATTCTGATGCTGGTAGATGGAAGTGGGCTGGGCTTGCATGGGCTGATCCAAGGAATGGGAGGGTTGAGGTTTTTCCCATTCGTGGGTTTGATGATGAATCAGTGTTTGAAGCAGTTCTCTGCTTGGAAAGTCGGGTCAAAATTTTCCCGGGCGAGTATTGTTAGACAAGTGACGACGACATAAGGTAACACTACATTTTTTCCTGCCCGTTTGCTTTGGCTTTGATTCTTCCCAAATCACACAACTCATTTGAAGGCTTCTTCTGTTTCTCCAGGACCGAGATCTCGGAAGAAGAATCATTGGAGGAATGACAGCATTGATCATTTTGGTCTTTGGTTGGAGAAGTTTGAGTACTAGCTAGTGAACAGTAGATGTGGAGGTTGCAATAATGGTGCATGCAGTGTAGCAGACGTCTGAGTTCTTCTCTCGTTTTTATAACTTAATTCACTGCTATGCATTGAGTTGTCTTGTGATGTAAGTAGTAGCTTTTACGTACTTCGAAATCTCACTGACATAGCTTTTGCATCCAACTCGTTGAGATTATTTGGGCAGCGTTGAATCTATTTAGTTTGTACAACTAGTTAGAGCGGGAGAAATAGATCAGACTGTTTTGAAAACCGTGAACCAAATCATGTCGCACATTTTGGTTCGGACTATAGACCGTTAAGTATGATCTAGTCTAGTCAATGATTTGTATTATATGGTGTTTTGATCTAGTCTGGTTCAAACTGCAGTTTATTTTACTGGACCAAATCAGAGACTCAATAGACTTCCCAATACGTATTAGCAACCCCCGACCACTATCTCAACTCTCCCCAATGATCTTCCCCTCCTTCATTCACAACCATCCCAGAAATACAACACACCTACCTATAACCTTGACAAAGGAAGTGTTCGGCGTGAAAATCTGTGGCGCAGCTTGAGGGACTATGGAATAAGACTCAACAAGCTGGTCAAGCAATGACAATGAGGAGTACTGGTAAAGTGCAAATTTTGGTGATTTTTTTGTCCCCGAGTCTCAATAGGGGAAGATGAAAAATTATTCATAAAAAAAAAAAGATGAAAAATTGGGAAAGGGTCAAAACCAGTTTTGAATCAACTCTCAACATATCCTACCAAACAATTAATCAACCTTGCATCAAACATTCAACTTTGTAGTATGTTCTTCACATAACATAAAATGTGTGCAAAAATGTGAACCCTACCACTATCACATTACCTCCTTTTTCTTATGATATACAAACAATCATAATATGATATTGTTAAAAGGTAATTTGCAATTATGAATTTTATCTACCTACAATCACATCAAGGGACAATTCCATATGCCATAATATTGGAACATGTAGTGTTCTACTACAAGTTTGACAAGATGAAAAGAGAGCATAACCACCAACGATGGATCTGAAATCACAACTCTCCATGAACAGCAAGTTGATAAGAAGTTGAAGACAATAATAATGGATGAATTAATTACATGAGGCTTGGTTGATTTATTGTAGAACATGTATATGTATAATGGTGGAAGAGACAAGGGCCAGGTATATGGTTGTGCTCCATTATTAGTTTTTTATATTCCAATTATATAAATGTATGTGTGTTGTACTGATGGGAAGAGAAGAGGAAAAAGTGTCAGAGACACAAAAGAAAAAGAAAGAAAGAAAGAAAGAAAGAAGAAGTCTTCCATGCGTGTATGTATGTAAAGCAAGAGCCAAAATAATAAGGCCTTGTTTGTTTGAGTGTTTCTTAAATTTGAGTGATTAAACACCAAAAATTTTCTTTGTGTTGATCCTATTTTCCACCACAATTCCGCTAATACCCAACAAATTTAGTATCAGAGCTAATACCCTTCTATCCTCTAAAAAATCCCCAAATTTCTAGCCTACACAATTTTTCTCAAAAAGTCATGGCAACAACTTCATCACATACCATGTTTGCTACCTCATCAAATCAAATTCCCATTTTCGATGGAGAATTGTACGAGTACTGGAGTGCCCAAATGGAGCCAATTTTCATCTCTCAAGATCTGTGGGATATCGTCCAAGAAGGCTACGAAGATCCACAAGACGAGGATGAAGATTCCAAGAAACGAGCAGGCAAACAGACAAAGGAGTACAAGGAGAATGCCAAGCAAAATGCCAGCGCCTTGAGAATAATTCAGCAAGCAGTGAGCAAATCGATTTACCCGAGAATCTATGGCATCAAAAAGGCCAAAGAAGCTTGGGATGTCTTGCGTGAACAATTTCAAGGTTCTGAAAAGGCAATCTCTATCAGGCGCCAAAGTTTATGGCGACAGTTCGACAACTTGATGATGAAGGAAACCGACACCATCAAAGACTTCCATTCGCGTGTAGCGGAGATAGTCAACCAGATAAAATCTACTGGTGACGTCATGGAAGAAAGAAAAATTGTGGAGAGAATTCTCCGCAGTTTATCATCAAAGTTTGAGCATATTGTTGCTGTGATAGAAGAAACCAAAGATTTGGCAAATCTACCAATGAGCGAGTTGATGGGCTCACTCGTAGCACACGAGCAAAGAATGAGCCGCTTCACCAAACCGCCATTGGAGCAAGCTTTCTCGTCAAAAGTCAACATGACGGAATGTAAATATGCCAAATCGGAGCAAGGCCAGAGAGGGGGAAACTCACAAGGAAGAGGAAGAGGAAGATCCAATTACAGAGGAAACAACAGACAAAATTATCAACAACAAAGATCGGGCTACACCGGCTCGAGCTGCATAATTTTCAAAAAGGCGGGTCATGCAACAAAAGACTGCAGATTCATATGCACCAAGTGCATAATTCAAAACCACTCCCAGAGAGATTGCTGGTTCCAGAACAAGCAAGAAGAAGGCGAGTCAAGCGGCACCAAAAATGAAGAAAGCAATATGGTGGCCTTATCATGCTTGAATGGTGAGCAAAAGTCACAGCTTCCCTGTATGGTGGATAGTGGTTGCAGTAACCACATGACTGGAGATCTGGAGTCCTTCACCGACATCGATGACAAATACCGCTCTCAACTCGAACACAATCACTCAGCGGCAAAAGATACTTTCTACTATTTGTAGATGACTTCACCAGAATGATGTGGGTATTCTTTCTGGAGCAAAAGTCAGAAGCTTTTCCCAAGTTTCTTCAATTTCAAGCAGTAGCTGAGAAGGAAAGCGGCCATCAAATAAAAACTCTCCGAACAGATCGTGGAGGAGAATTTATTTGTACTCCATTCATGGAGTATTGCCGCAACAACGGAATCAAAAGACAGCTGACGGTCCGTTACACACCACAACAAAATGGCGTGGCAGAACGAAAAAACCGCACGATTGTGGAGATGACGAGAAGTATGCTCAAAGCCAAGAAGCTTCCCAACAACTTGTGGGCAGAAGCCGTCAATACAACAATTTACATCCTCAACAGATCACCAACCAAAGCAGTTCGGAACAAGACACCGATACATGCGTGGCACCACAGGAGGCCACAGGTGGATCACCTCAAAGTCTTTGGGTGCATAGCTTATGCACATATTTCTACCCCAAACCGAGACAAGTTTGACCAGAAGGGTGAGAAGCTGATTTTCACCGGCTACAGTGATGAATCCAAAGGCTATCGTCTTTACAACTCAGTAAAGAACGAAGTGGTGGTTTCCCGAGATGTGATCTTTGATGAAATGGCGGAGTGGAATTGGGAAAATCCAATTTCTCAATCTCCACCAAGTTATGAAATTCTGGAGGATTCAGCAATTCCAGAAGACCCCAGCAACTACCCAAATCCAGTTGCTAGTCCAGAAAGAAATTCTGCACCTAGCCCAGAAGGAGACAACTTCAGAGACGTCGTAACAGACTCAGATTCACCTCCGTTGAGAACAAGGTCTTTGCGAGAAATTTATGAAACAAGTCATGTTGCATATTTTTCTTGTGAGCCTCAAGTCTTTGAAGAAGCAGCCAAAGATGAAGTTTGGAATGAGGCGATGGATGCAGAAATTTCCATGATCGAGAAAAACAAGACATGGGAGCTTGTTGATCAACCGGAGGACAAGCCGGTTATAGGTCTCAAATGGATCTATAAGATCAAATTCAATGAAGATGGTACTATCCAGAAGTACAAAGCTCGACTGGTGGCAAAGGGCTATTCACAACAGCCCGGTATTGATTTTCACGAGACATATGCACCAGTAGCGAGAATGGAAACCATCAGAACAGTTCTCGCTCTAGCTGCTCAACTGGAGTTACCAGTATACCAGCTAGATGTCAAATCAGCATTTCTGAATGGAGAACTGGAAGAAGAAGTCTATGTGGAACAACCACGAGGCTATGAGAAAAAAGGAGAAGAAGACAAAGTCTATCGTCTCCGAAAGGCTTTATACGGGCTAAAGCAAGCACCGAGAGCCTGGAATAGCATAATTGATCGATATTTTCAGCAAAACGGATTTCAAAGAAGTCCGAGTGAAGCATCTCTCTACATCAAAAAGGGAGAAGGAAAAGATTTTCTAATGGTTTGTTTGTATGTTGATGACTTGATTTACACAGGTACAAATCAACATATGATCGAAGAGTTCAAAAGTACCATGATGAAAGAATTCGAGATGACGGACTTGGGAGTCATGAAATATTTTCTTGGGATCCAAGTGAAGCAGTCACCTGGAGAAATATTTATTTCACAGGAGAAGTACACCGAAGATATGCTGAAAAGATTTCACATGGCAACGTGCAAACCAATCTCAACACCGATGGCATTAAACGAGAAATTACAACGCAATGATGGAGCTGAAAAAGTCTATGGAAAGCTGTACAGAAGTCTTGTCGGGTCACTCATTTACCTTACACATACCAGGCCGGATATATGTCATTCAGTAAGTCTTATATCGAGATTTATGAATGAACCTAGCAAACTTCATTTTGCAGCAGCCAAAAGAATTTTGCGGTATCTTCAAGGTACTAAAAAATTGGGCCTGACGTACAAGAAAGAAGCAGAAAGCAAGCTGACTGGATATACCGATAGTGACTGGGCAGGATCACTGGATGATCGAAAAATCACATCGGGGTACATATTCTGCCTGGGATCAAAACCCATTTCCTGGAGTTCAAAGAAGCAAAAGACTGTGGCATTATCTTCAGCGGAAGCAGAATATATCGCAGCTACAGATGCAGCATGCGAAGCGGTATGGCTAAAAAGATTAATTTCTGATTTGCAGCAAAGTGAAAATGGTCCAACCATAATTCACTGTGACAACATGTCAGCCATAGCCATGACAAAGAATCCAGTATTTCACGCAAGATCGAAGCATATCGAGTTGCGTCATCATTTCATCCGAGACCTCGTCAACGAAGGATTAATCGTGATGGAATTTATCAACACCGATGATCAGCCAGCAGATATCATGACAAAGGCGGTCACCCTTAAGAAGTTCAAGAAGTTCAAGAAGCTTCTCCATATTGCAAATTAAGAGGGGGTGTTAAAAGGTAATTTGCAATTATGAATTTTATCTACCTACAATCACATCAAGGGACAATTCCATATGCCATAATATTGGAACATGTAGTGTTCTACTACAAGTTTGACAAGATGAAAAGAGAGCATAACCACCAACGATGGATCTGAAATCACAACTCTCCATGAACAGCAAGTTGATAAGAAGTTGAAGACAATAATAATGGATGAATTAATTACATGGGGCTTGGTTGATTTATTGTAGAACATGTATATGTATAATGGTGGAAGAGACAAGGGCCATGTATATGGTTGTGCTCCATTATTAGTTTTTTATATTCCAATTATATAAATGTATGTGTGTTGTAACTGATGGGAAGAGAAGAGGAAAAAGTGTCAGAGACACAAAAGAAAAAGAAAGAAAGAAAGAAGAAGTCTTCCATGCGTGTATGTATGTAAAGCAAGAGCCAAAATAATAAGGCCTTGTTTGTTTGAGTGTTTCTTAAATTTGAGTGATTAAACATCAAAAATTTCCTTTGTGTTGATCCTATTTTCCACCACAATTCCGCTAATACCCAACAGATATAAGATTACGAATATTGGTGACTGTTCCGATTACTTCCTGCATACTAGGTTCCATTCTTTTGGAAAAGAGTACTCCCATATGAGCAGAAACAACGTTTTACCTGGGAACTAACCTCACTTCCTTTCCTCCCAAGAGGGTGGAATTGTGGAAATATATCAACAAGTGAAAGACAATGAAAGGGCGAAAGGGTAAAAGAACCTACCTAGGACAATTTAAACTTAACAATCCTACCAAAACCATGCATACATGAAACATAAGAGAAAGAAATACAACTATGACCATGGCAATATACTATCTAGCCACCTGAACACACATTGCTCGTCTTGTGGATGTAACGTAAGACAATAGACATCGTGTTAGTGAACCACCTAAATTTGTGTTTTTTTTTTTTTTTTACATTGTGTTCTAATATTATATATGTATGATCAGTAACCAATAAGATTATTGGTCCGCCCTTAAGCTCCCTTTGGTAGCTAATTAAGTAATGCCAAATACATGAAAATGTTAATAAACAAGAATAAACTAATTTTTGGTAGATAAAATAAACCAACAACATTGTAAAAAGCTTTGAACGTTTCATTTATTTAGGAATAATTGCGGAAGTTTATATTTATGGTATATATATAATTAAAGAAAATTTCAAGAAAGCTTGCCCTAATAACTCCGTACGTTCTTTTATAAATAAATACATAAATAAATAAATAAAAACTCTGTACGTTCTTGAACATAAATATATGGATCGTCCGTCATCTTGGACCTAGACAGCAGTAGTCCACGGGGAAGCATCAATCAGCTCGATCTCCGGCCACTGGCCACCGCCAGTACTCTTCCCCTCTTCTTTCTTCCTCACGCAGCAAATAACATAATCCTCACCGCCACCGTCGCCACCAGCACCAAGACACTTAGCCAACTCTCCATTGATTTTGAACTCGTGCATCACCCACCCGTTGCTCTCACTTTCCCTATTACTACTACTCCCGCCGGCGCCGTCGTCGTCCTTCACTTTGTACGAGAAGGACCGCTTGGTGCCGATCTCGATCTCCTTCTCGCCGGGGACGAGGACGAGGCTGATCTTGTCGTCCTTCTGCGACTTCCACACGCTCTGCCCGAAGCTCCGCTCCACGCGCTTCCCTTTCTCCTTCTTCTTCTTCTTGAGCCGGGTGAAGAAGTAGAGCCTCGACTCGCCCGTCAGGTCGAACCAGTGCTTCCACCTCTCCTCGTCGTCGTAGAGATCGGCTTCGAACACCACGTTGGTGTTTGGGGGCTGCTTTGCGGTACGTAGTACAGTTACGTTGCATGCATGCAGCTTTGCAACACCGTAAGTGGTTGTGTTCGTAGGCCGACTTCGAAAGTTCGTCCATCAGCCTTGTGGGCCCGGTCCATGAGAAACAAAAAGTTAATTAGATAGCTAAACTGCAGTCAGGATAGTGAAAACCGGGCAAGGGAATTATGGCGAATCCTGTAAGTGATTTCGATGGTTTGGATGGAACACATTGGATATTTTGTGAGTACATTTTGAAGATACTTGGTTTCATGAATCATGATTCTTTGGGGAGTCTGATTCATTTGTTGCCCAAGTAAGAAGCTGTCGTTAATCGATAACTGAGATAATCGAGACACCGAAACCTATTTCGGGCGATAGGGGGAGTGATTATTTTGGTTAATCGATAATCGGCCAATCGATTACTGGTTATACCCGAAATAACCGAACTGCCACCCCTAATACTCGGTCTTGGATCAAACAACATAAATCACAGCTGAGGTTGTAATTTGTTGATCCATAACAAAGAGTAGTATCTATGAAAGCTCTGCAGGAGTCGCGTTCAAGAAGAAATATATCAAGACAATCATATCAAGTTCTAGGAACTTGTTTGAGATCACATAAAACATTTTTCAACTCTAACAGACATGATCATGAAAAAAAATAATTTTCTAAACATGAACGTTGTTCTTCAAAAACTTCTTGTTAAGAAATCCATCAGAAACACACTTTTGACATCCATTTGGAACATTTCAATTTTCCTTGCACAGGCAAAAGCACATTGGAGACGAATGACTACAGGAGGAAAGATCTCCTCATAGTCAATCCCTTCTTCTTGATTGTATCCTTTAACAACTAGTCTACCATCCTTTAACAACTAGTCTAGCGTTATTTCGTCCTAATTCATCATTTTTAAACATGAATACCCATTTACTTCCAATCACAGGCCAATCTGTGCAGCCTCCATTAAGTGTCGCACGTGCTCGAAGATTATGCTATGCACCCTCCATAAATTAAGGGGATTGCTAATTATCGCCCTAAGTTTTACTAATCGCCCTGACTTAATTACTTTCTTATCCTTTCTTTTTGTATTATTAAAATATTTCATTTTAGCAAACAACCATTTATTGAACAAAACTAACCTGTCAGTGTCCTCTCACTCATCTCTCTTGATGTCTCCTCCTGATCCATAACTCATCTGCCCATCCAGAACCCCTAATTTTAGTTTAAACCAATCTTTGAGGCCATGGACTCATTGATCCGGCGAGATTCCTCTCTCGTTCCTCTCCAATTCTCACCCTTCTATTTCCACTCTTCTCTCTCAATTCTCACCTATCTGTCACGTTCTGATACCCCTTGTTAACCCTCCGAACCTCCCCTCTATGAATTAGCCCGACTCCACTCCCTGAATCAATGACTGGGGAGCTTGAACAAAATAGTCATTTCAATAAACTGACAAAAATAGACCTAAAATAAAAGATCAAATATGCCTATACTACTGTCGAGGACAATCCTATTGCCGGCGCCGATCACTTGAACATATGTATATACTGACGGAGGTCGACAGCGGAATTGGTGGATGCAAGCAGAGAACACCTACGGCGGAATGGGTGGATGCAAGCAGAGAACACCTACGGCGGAGAGAGTGATTTTTGTTTGGTTTGACGTTTTTGTTTGGTTTGTCCTTAAACGTAATTTCCAATTTTAAGTTAGGGCGATTATAGTAAAATTAGGACGACGTTTAGCCGTTCAGTAAATTAAACAAACTACCAAATTGACCCGACTTCCTTTCATACATTACGCTGTAAATGTCACGATAGTTGAAGGTACAAAGCATATATATAAGCTTGAAATTGCAGACATCTGATAGAAGAAGCTACTGCAATTTTGAGCTTTACCAAAATAACAGAACCCTAACAGCCATACACGAACCAGACGAGCTAGGACTATAGCAACCTATGACTCAATTACCACCTACTACCCAACTTCAAGAGAAGCACAAGGAACACCTAAAAGTAAACAAGCAACACCTATCTACGATCATGCATGGCTGAAGTGAAACAAAACAATGCACCTCCATTCCCAAAAGCCACATAATCGATCACAACGACGACACGAAATATCATCAATCTTCCATCTTGAAGCCGGACAACGACATCTGGGATGGAACAAACGTGACAATCTCGATCATGGCCTTGTCCTTAGTCCCAACTCCACGAAGCAAGTCCGTCTCCGGGTCTAAGACGAGCAACCCTGCATTCTGACAACTAAAACACCCAAAAAGCTTAATATCCACAAAGTAACAACCACCCCTCCAAATAGCAGGGAATTCGTACGCCCCAGCCAGGTCGGAAACACGATACAGCAGAGTCCAAGGCACGGATTGGTCGAATTTCAGCAGCACCCGTATCTCGAAACAGCGATCCCTGCAGCGGTTGCCCCTGCAATCCGAAAACACACCCACGATGGAGTCCTTCAGCAGAGTGCAGGAATCGGCAGCCCATCCGTACTTACCAGTTGGCTTAGGGAAGTCGATCCAATCAAACACTTCTTTCCCAAAGTCCCATGACAACATCTGTGTGTCTTCACGACCCGATTTCCACCAGTAAAGCATCTCCCCACGGTACGTATGGGGATAACGAACCGGATTCGAGACGACTGGCGAGTCCTGGCCATCGATTCTCCTCCACGAATCATTCCTCAAGCTGTACATCTCCACAACAGACCATGGATCAGGTCTAACTGGCTCGAAATCATCAAAATCGAACGAATCGGCGCTAATGCTCCTAATGACCTTGTAGTCATTCGTCTGCGAATCGAACCCAAAACCAATCAGCTCGTCAAACAGACGGCCGTCAGGACCAGTCCGATCACCGCTGAAGGGGGAACGCGGCAAAATCTTGGTCTCTGAAGTTGCCGGATTCCAGAGGATAATGTCTGAGGCATTGGAGTAGAGCTTATCGGCGATACAAACAATCCCATCACAGCAACCCACAATTGACAAGTCTAATTCGAAATCAGATGTAGTTCCATCGCAGGGGAAGGTATAAGAGCGAACCTTATTGGGGACACAGGGCAAATCAGGGTCTTTACCGATTGGGGTGATTGGTAGCAGATGTTTGTAGGAGAGCAGAGAGTAGACGAAGTGGGATGTGGCGTAGCCGTCGCCATTGTCGTCGGCGGCGCCCTTGACCAGAACCTGAGCAGTTTCGTCGCTTCCGGTGGAATCAACGCCCGGACCGAAGAGGATTTTGTGAATGGAACTTGGGCGCGAGAGAAGGATGTTCCACATTTTGCAGACGCAGCGAAATCTGACGATGCAGGAGCCGGAGGGGAGCCTTAACAAGATTTCATTCACCATTTGATCCGAGAAAAAGCCGCCAGCGGTACTCCTCTTGTTGGGAGCTCGGTCGGCGGCCGGGACGACATTCCGCTTCTTGATTTCCAGGAGGTGGCGGCGGGCTACCGAAGAAACGGCACCGGATTTCCTCTTACGACGGCCTCCGTCCATCGCCGATCTCTGATATCGGCGGCAATTCGGCAACTAGGGTTTGCTGGGGGGAAATAGGAAAGACGCTCTACCTTTCGGCTTTCTGTGAGTCTCGACTCCTGCTTTTGTTTTTATAGACTTCAAAAATGTTTAAAAATCAAAATAGTTACATCACGTATATTATAGTTTTGGTCCCTAAACTTTCAACTATAACCAACTCATCCTCGTAATGCCTAATGTTTCACTAATGAGCCCCACCATTACTGTTTACGTCAAAAGATGATTTGTGCTGCGGCCTGGGAATATGATATCCAGACAGACGTTTGCCAGAGATCTATTGAGAATCATCCTCTTGGAACCGAAAAGATAATCTTTCTCACGAGGTTAATGATTCCAATTCAGCAACAATCACTGAGAAATGTCTGATAATCTGTTCTTTGTTCATCGATGATTGTAGCAAGATGGAAATGGAAATGGTAAATGATCTAACTTCAACTCACTGCACAAGAATTCTTCACTGCAAGGGCCGAAGAGACCCTTCGAATGTAGCATTGAGGATGATGATGATAATTGATGAAGAACAAATGAAACATCCCCTTCTTGTAAGACCACAGATCAGATTTAAATCCACTGGAATGTCTGCATTCTGACCCTGCTCTAGCTATAGTGTATGCCGCTTGCGAAAAACAAGAATCCACTCTTTTTCTATACCTGCGCCCAGCAATAATCCCTTTAACCCTTCTACAAATGCCATTTCATTGCTCTTTGATTGCTTTCTGAGCTCTGTGGTTTCCCTGTTAAATAACTGCTAACCATGTTAGTGTTCTTCAAAGAATGTATGTATATATGGCGGTCATCTAATCTCATCGATGTGTGCGCGCTATACCAACAGCCACAACCCACAGTATCCAGCAATGCTACACGATCTGCTTCTGCAGGAGGTTGCATCGACCCCACACTCCTCGTCTCTCAGACACCGGTGGTCCCCGCGGGCATCAACGACGTGGCAGACGCTCTCGATTGGCTGCTGGCCTTCTCCCAGACTCAAGCTTGTTGCAGGACATACTTGCAGTGACATCGCACTTGCTCGTTCCGTTGGCATCCGACTCTGCATGGTTAAGAACGAACTTTGTTCAACAGCTATTGCAAAAAACAGATTCCTTTTGTTTTCATGAATTGTTCGTGCAGATTCAAAGACAGAAAGAAATGGCGATGAGAGAGATGACTCGCGCATAACTCGTGGATTATATGCAAAGAAAAGTCGAGATGATCGTATATATACACCTTCATGGTGAAAGCCTAAAAGAGGCAACGAATACCTTGACATAGGTCCAATTCGATGGGATGTAGGCTTCTGGAAGTCGATCATGCCAATCACTTAGCACTGGGAGAGGGTGACCCTCAGTTGTAAACACATAGTTTCTACCAGCTAAAAACGAATCATCAAAGAGAAGATACAGATACTTGCACCTGCAAGAACAAAAGAGAGGAACCATAAGAATGCTAGTCTCATTCAGAAAATAGAATATAGCATGCCAATCATATTTTTCCAGGAAAGCTCTAATCTTGGGAGAATTAAAGAAGGGTGGAAAGAAGTCTTACGTTTCTGCGAGAAAGAAACTATGCTGGTGATCTTCCCTTTGCATAGTTGTGACATCTCGAATGCTAGCAAATCCTCCCTCAACTTTAGTGTAGAAGTTGAGAGAGTTAACAATTGCTTCGCCCACCTCTATATAAAAAGGATCTGAGACCATAGCCGTCACCAAGATTGAAGGGCAAATTAGAAAAACATAAAGCAGCCTAATGCAAAAGCGAGTTTATAATTGGTTCATCCATTTCCCCAAGCTAAGATCAGGGTCTGAAATTATAAGAGGTTTAAATCTAGAATTTGATGTCGAACAGCGAAAATACCTTTAGTCGCGTGATATAAGTAAAATGTGGACTCGGCCAATTCAGGACGCAGTGGATAATACTTTTCTGTAGGGTGCACAGTCTGATAATCCAGCAAATACCTGAAAATTATTATCTCATTAGGTTTCCTCAGTTCTGTAGAAAGTCTTGTCGACCCAACTAAGCAGGAGCAGTAGTTTAAATGGTTAATGCAACACTATCAGATATGGAGGCAAATACCTTTCTGGTAGCACCCCATACTTTTCCCAGACAGAAAAGAACTCTCGATGGGAGGAATTCGCAGCTCGGACATCCCCCACAAGAACCTGATTAATAATATTACAATCAGACACCTCTTTTAAATGCAAATTCGCACCATGGAAAGTGATGCTGAATCAAGGAAAAACTTGCCTGTAGACCAGGCCAAAATGCTTGAAGGCTTGTCAGCTGCCAATAAGTTGCTCTTCCACTCCTCATATCAGCTTCATGGTACCTAAGTAAGAGTAATTACTTCATGTTACAAACACTTCTACGGTTGTCGAGATTATATAATGAAGTAATCACACTACCCAGGAAAGAGAAACTAGTGCATTTAATTTCATCATCTTGGATTATCTAAAAGATAGAATTGTTCAGAATGGGAGCTTCATGACCAAAAAATGAGTACCATGAGCCATGTCTGAAGTATTTCTGCACAGCTAGATAAGCTGACTGGAACATTCTCCAGTAGTCATCTTTTCCAAATAGAATATGAGCCTTGACTAGATACTCGTAGAAAGAATCAACCCCTGATTGAAGCAATAAAATGTCCATAATCACAAAATAAGAATTATTCCAGCACATAATTTCAGAGAATACATGTTTTCATGGAGAATGAATTACCGAGAATTAAAAGAAAACGAGCTACTAGCAAGTATTATCTCATAAAGAAAGGCCAAACAGTAGATACCAGCTCCAATCCCAGAAGAGTGCTCAATCCACTCTCCAGTCATCACATCTAGAGTTGTTCCGAATAAGTTCAATGAACTACGCATACTCCACAACTTCCTCAGAGCCCGTAAAGCTGCAAATTCATATCTTGGGTCCCCAGTTAATCGTGACAGTGCTCCCATTTCAAGTATGAGAGAACCTGATTGTAACCACGAAAAAGAATTTATTGAGAGGCATGCAAATCCAAAACTACAATGCAGCAAAGCGAACTGTTTGGTTATGAATCTCACCACACCCTGAAGTGCTAGTTTCAGTAGTTTCACCTTCCATGACTCCATACTGTCCACAGAATTTTGCATTGCTGCGGAGTCATATATCCCTCTTACAAAAGGAAAAAGGCAGAAACATATTCTCACTTCCTAATCCTCATAAGTCAACACTATGTGAAAATTAGGATATGCAACTGCTTCGCTACTAGTCGACAACTACTAGTTTATAGGGTCATATAACTTGCAAAAGGTACAGCTAACGACGCTCTGTTTTTCAAGTGCGGCAAAAATGATTTATATTGTCTATATATAAAACTATTGGACTTGAAAGTAACCTAATAACTCATACAAAAGTTGTTCCATGAAGTACCTTCAAGTTGACCCAGGCGTAAGGCAAACCAGTTGGTGTATCAAATGCAGGTAAGAAACGCCGGCCCAAATCTTCAGCCAGACCCAGCAATTCATTATCATAAGAACCTTGAATCAACCGATTCTTCGAGTCAGATGCAAGAATATGAGCAGAAACAAGCCCTCCGAGAACTCTTATATTGCACTATATGAATTAAACGAGCACACGATAGTCAACAAGCTAAAACATAATCCAGCAACTCCTAATTCTGAATTAAGGCTACAGAAACCAAGAATTACACTATGCAGATATCATATCAAAACCAGCTAAATTTTTACAGAGAAATTGACCAATAGTACCTCAAAAAGGTTTACCCTGGCATCAACATCAAATGACAAATTCTTCGACAGCCAACCAACTGCCCTTTCAAATTCTGTGTTGTTTCCCATTATAACAAGGCTGTGGAATAGAAAAGCAAGGCTTTTTCGTTAAGAAGGACGTGATTGCTCTGCCTACTAACTATATCAAAACACAGAACAGTATCAACTAACAACTACTTCAACAGAGACCCTTCAGCCTCAGTCATCCAGTAAAGTTCTCACCTAGATAATGACTCAATGAGTGTAAGGGCCGAGCCACTGTAATCTGTAGGCAAATGCTCAAGCTGCAAACAAAATAGCGAAAATGCTTAGACTTCAGCTGAGCCCAAGCAGAAAGCATAAAAACATGGCTTACGAATCAAAACAAGTATCCATAAATTACCTTGAGATTCCCAAGCTCGCTTAGAGAGTCTGTGTATGACTTGGTAAGAGGCTTCAGCTCATCATGCTGCCATTCCATTCAGCGTATGAATAACTTGATCAACAGAAACATCCCCCCATATATTTACAACATAGAAAGATAGAACAACATAGACTCACCGGAAACGCGTAGGTCATGTAGTTTTCATAAGCATGATAGAACCTGCAAACCACAACCCATTAAATCCAACTGGTTCTATATTAACAAATCTGCTTTCTTTCTTCGTCCCCAAATTGAATACAGAGTTCGCTTAGACCTTCTAATGAAGCTAGAGTTGTTCAACATTAATTTGCATTCAAATGCACCAAACCCACAATTCAAATTTCCAGAAGGACCAAAACTCCTCAAATTGGGGTGAAGGAGAACAATGAAAGACGTGATACACTACTACTGCTTACATCTCTCGGACCTTATCTCGCATCTCCAGCTTCTTAGCTGCCCATCGAGAATCAAGCTCGGAACTTGATGTGCAAAAGGAGAGGGAGATCACAAGAAGCAACAGGACAAACGCCGGCGTCCCAGATCTCCGAGACGGCATACTGAGAGAGGCGAAGGAAGATGGCAGAGCCCAAAGCACCGGGTCGAATGAATGGGTTGTCGATCAGAAGTAGGAAAGGGCAGAGCAGCGGGAAGATTGGAAGCAAAAATTCAGTTGGATTGGATTTGGCGAACTGGCAATCCACATCTTGGAGCCCCGCTAGTACAAATTTACAATAATCTATTTGCTGTAATGTATCTTTGGAGTAATGATTTATCTGTTTCTTTGTTATTATTATTTTTATTATCGTGCAAGTGACCAATAGCAAGCAACCAGTTGGAGTCGTAGCCAATCATATTTTGGCGCACTTGTCATGAGGTGATGGCGTGGAGAATTTGAGTAAATTACACCTTTGATCACTGAGATCGTCTCCCACTTTCATTTTGCTACCGAAAAAGAAATTTGTGAAAACAAGTTCGTTAAATTTGTTTTATGCGACAACAATTGTATTATTCGTGTTAGGATATGGTATTAATCAGTCTAATATGATAAATGATTAAGTTATCAACAGGTTCAAGTCTACTAAAAGACATCTTACCTTGAGTTCAAATCCATCGGGATCCCAGACTCTTATAAAAAAAAGGGTCAAGCCCTCCAAGTAAGGGACCCTTCTCTCTTCATTTACCTGGTCACACGAGGTCTCTCTCTGTAAACTGTAGTCTCTGTACATTCGCATAACACATACATATCTCGTATTAACTTAGGTGTTGGAGTATAGATCACAAGGGTCACCCGCTCCATTCATAGGTTCTTCCACTCGCGAAGAGATCGAACGAACGAGTCTAAACCAGAACCCCTAATTATTGTTGTCCGCCGAGAGTACTTAGTAGGTTCAAACAATTCATTTATTTGACAATCTTCCTTACCAGGCGATTTTTGCTTCACATTTGATATTTTGCCCAACAAATGAATTGTTTTGCTTCACAACAAATGAATCCTTGATATGAAAAAAGAAACCTCGTTGATACACTTTGTGACCTTATTCTTGTTCTAATCGAGTTTGAAGGGATAGAATCCTATAACATTTATGAATTGTAAATCAAATTTGTCATACACATCAAAGATCACTTAAATGTTGTAACGCTAAGTTTTTCAGGTAGAGATTTTTGCTTCATATGTCATCATCACCATCACCACATTATCATGATCGTCACCACAGTTCAATAATTCACAGAGACATTTGTTGTTTGTTCAGTAGCTGTTAGAAACAAAGGGGTTTAGGGTTCGGCCCTATTACTTCTGTTGTTTAATAATTATAATAATTATTAGCAGTAGAGAAATTAGGCTAAGTTGGATCGAATGGGCTAGGATTAATTTTAGGGTTTTGGTATCTTTCTATTATAAATATATGTATTTTGGTTCTTACATCGGGAAAAAAATGAAAAAAGTATTAGCAAAGTATCTGTCTCAAAACCCTAATTTCTCTTCCTCTCAATTTTCGTCACCTATTCCTTGACCGACGGCCATTCTTCTCCTCAATTCCCAATTTCTTCTTCTAAATCCCCAATTCTTAATTATATACGAAACCCTAAAAAAATTATAGTTATTTCAGTGGTATCGGAGCTCAATTGCGAATATGAGTTCATCACAACTCTCAATCGGGGACGAGCGCATATACGAAGATTTTGAGCCAAACATCCGTAGAAGGGAGTATCCTGATTGTGTTAAGTTATTCGTCTACGTGCCCGGGTTCGAGTTCAAGCACGTGGTTATGGAAAAAAAAGCATCAGATGAGCTAACCTTTACGGGGGAGCGTCCATTGGGTTACGAATAAGACTGCAAACGAGCCGAGTCGAGTTTTTGCCTAATTTGAACTCGGTTCGTTGATAAAATTTTCAGGTTGACCTCGAATTTCAAAAAACCAGCTCGAGCTCGACTCGGTAAAGCTCGGTAAATGCTCAATAACACAGCTTGTCAAGCTGAGTACAAGCCCAGCTAAAGATAAGCTCGATTTGAAATCATTCTTGCAGAAAAATGTGTACACATAAGTATTAAATGATAAAAACAACACTACAAACCATAAATAACATCTAACTTCCATACACATTCATATTAAGAGGATAATGTTCATGTTCATATGAGTAATTAATCATTTCACAAGCTCAAAACAAGCTTGCTCGCGAGCTTAGCTCAAAAAGCCACCGACTCAAGCTAGCTCACGAGCTTATCAAGCTGAGCATGGTCTAGCTCAAGCTCGGCTCGTTTTTAACGAGTCGGCTCGCTATCCAGCTTGTTAAATAACGAGTCGGGTGTCGAACGAGTTTTTCTGATTCAAACGTCGAGTTGCTCACGAGCGGCTTGGCTCATTTGCAGCCATAGTTACGAATGCATATGGGTCTGATAACACCTAAAATAGGTGTTATCTAGACTCTATTTTCAAGGCATTTGCATGCTAAATCACCGTGTCTAGGCCATATATCGAGTTATTTATGCTCATTTTCGTTCCTATTTGCAAAACTTGCATTTTGGCATAGGTATTCTTGATATATGAAGGTTTTCATAGGGGAATCGACCCCAAATTGTGGTATTTTAAGCTTTCCCACGTGTTTTTTTTTATGAAATTCCAGGTCTTATATTCAATTTTGGATTGATCAGGAATCGATTGGAGTTCATCCGGACACGATTGGGAAGCAAAGGAGCAAAAAGGGGAGAAAAAGCACTGGTCACGGCCACCGCCTTTGACCAGGCCGTGATGATGATCGCGACATGTGATCGCGCCTACGATCAGTGGCCACGATTTTCAACAGACGACCAAGAAGAAGGCAGAGAGTTTCCTCACTCGGATCGCGGTCATGGTGCATTTTGGCCGCGATAAAGATCGTGCACGGGACAAAAGATCGCGGTCGTGATCTCGTGAAAGAGGCAACGATCTTGGAACTTAAAACGAGACAAAACGCATCATTTCACGCGATTCAGCGATGTTTCAGTTGGTCACGTCCTGGTCACGACAGAGACCATCGGGTCACGTCCTGGAGGCCTTGACTACCATCAGCTTTCTATAAATACCCCACTTGCTACACTTTCCAAAGGAGAGACATCTTGGGGGTGAGAAAATTAGGATTTTTTAGTGCTTTAGAGAGAGAAACACCTTGGGAGAGGTTCATTGAAGATCCATTCAACCTAAGGAGAAAGGAGAAGGTGCAAGCAAGGAGAAGAAGCTTGATTCCATCATTCCCCTCTTCTAGTTTGTATTTTCTTCTTCTCTCTAATGAATTGAATCTCTAGTGGTTGTTTAGGGTAGATGAATCCTAGTTGTAGGTTGTGAATGTTTGAGTTATGAATGAATGAATGTGTTTGTCTAGTTGATTTTAATGTCACTCTCTCCTAAATGATGACGCTTGGGTAATTTGCCATAATCTTCCCTCTTAGCCTACTTTATGCTATCGTGTTGGGTACGTATTTCTAGGGTTAGACAGGTATGCGTCATCTGGCAAGTTTAGGTTAGATGTGTGAATGGGGGCCTATAGTGGTTGAGGCTACCGAACCCCTGCTATAGGTAGCTTTCCTAGATGGAACCCGGGATGAAACCTCGGTGTGGACGGTGGATAGTGTTCATTGAAATGAACCATAAGCTTAATGCCCCAGATACGATAGCCTAGATCGAGGTGACTGAAATATGGGTTTAGGAGAGGCGTACTAGGAGGCGTGTGGATAACCATGAAAGCCCACGGAAAAGAGCTCACTCACCACATTGGATCAACTCTAATTTACAACTTTAGCTAGGAGGATTTGACTCTAGGCAACCATCTCATCTCTAGCGTTCTCCCAACCACTTGGTTGGTTGTTATTTTTCCTTAGGAGTAGGTTAATTTAGCTAAAACCCCTCACCAAACTTCCATCCCAATTGGATAGTAGTTCGGAGCGAAGTAATAATACAATTAGGAATCCCTTGGAATACAACCGAGTCACGTTACTACAACCCTAGTTAGGTTATACTTGGCTTAGTTAAGTTTGATTAGAGAGTGTGCTTCGACTTTATAAATTTAAAGCTCAATCGCGCACCAGAGCACGATCAAGTTTTTGGCGCCATTGCTGGGGAGTCTTAAGTTATTAGGAAAATCCGACTATTTAATCATTTGTTGTGTGCCAAGTTTGACGTTGTTTTATCGTGTTTTGTGTTTGTGTAGCATCAAATTTTTGGTGCCTTTTTCTCGTGTTTTGTGCTTGTGAAGTCGTATTTTGTTTCTCGTATCCTTCTTTCTTTTGTTATGTTTCTCTTAGTTATCTTGTGTTAAGTGTTTGTTCTCTTTTTGGTTCCTTTTCTTTTCACACTTTTGCTTTCATAGGTTTTATTGTTTTTGTGAATATAGATAGTGTTTTGGTGTAGCTATGGATCCATATTGGTGAAACGAGGAGTGGGGAGATCACCAACTGCCGAATTGGTATTATCTTGAAGCTTCTAGTAGTGGGTCTAGCCAAGGATCCGAGTGTGAAGAACCAACCTCTTTCTATGGTTATCAAGAAGGCTTTCCCGATTATCAAGCCTCGTTCATATCACAAAAACTTCCTTCCACAATAAGAGCTCAAAATCCAATTGGAGCTTTTGGTCGAACAATCAATTCAAAATACCGAAGTGAGCTCCAATGGGAATGGGTTAGCATGGTTACTCAACATCTACACCCTTAATTACTTCTATTTCACCCTATTTTTAAATAGACGATAGAGATTAGATTAAGGGTAATTTTAGAAATAAAAGAATACCACACCTAATTATTATCTTCTAAGAAATAAATTTATATATATTATATAATCAAACCCTAACATAACTGTTTAACCTCGTCATCTTCCCAATCCTCTCGTCGGTCGCCTCCCCTCCACTCACCCCACCTCCCTCTCATTGCCGGCCGCCCCCATCCCTCCCTTCCCACCCCCATATCCTCTCTCTCTCTTTCTCTTTCCGCGATCTCTCCTCACACTCACACCACCTCCCTCCCCGCCATGCCACACCTCTCCCTTCCCACCGCCCACCTCTCACAATCTCTCTCTATCTCTCTCTCTTTATCTCTCAAAAGGATATAGACGAAGAATATCTCTGCTGGATTTCAGATCTGAATTTTTTATAATGGTATGTATTTTTATATTGATATTAATTTTTTTTCATAGTAGTATTATTTTTCGCATTGGTATTGATTATGTAATGGTATTGATTTTTTGGTATTGATTTTATTGTATTGGTAGTGATCATCAAT